GTAGATTTTTCAAGCAATCTTTACTGATGGGAAAGGCCAAGATTTTTCCCATTCTTTTTGACATCTCCCATGTATAATTCTTGCTGTACTTCATACAGGGCATAAGACTACATGGTTATTATAATTTAATTTGTATTGTGTCTATTTTCAAGTAAATTGACAGAAAGTAGGGACACAGACTGTTACTCAGCTATTACTGAAGCAATAGCAAAGAGAATAGAAAATGCTATTTCTGTTGCGTTCTGCCCAAGAAGCATTTCGTTTTTGTGGTGTTTCCTGGAAAGATGATAGATTGAAAAAGTGAAGTATATTCCTAGGATTCTTGTAAAGTCAAAAATCCTTAATGCCCACTCATATGACACTATTACTTATGCATCTCTCCATTTCCTCCTCTCACTTAATGGATTGGGTGGTAGAAGTCTATATATTTTTCCTATGAGTATGTAAGGGCAGAGGACTCTTCAGCAGGTTTGGGGATTTGTTTCACTTTATACTATGAAGTCTTGTGAATTTATCCTAGCTCTAGTCATATGCCTATAGAGCTTTAATTTTAAACCCATAATTACCAGTATGAATTGGCTGAGATTAAACAAAGAGCATTTGTGTTTTTCTTGCACTATATAGATTAGTAACTGTATAGATTAGTTACTTAAAATTCTAATCTTCTTATTCTAACCCAGTAATCAAAAGATGACCCTGCAGTGAAAAAGAAAGCTTTTCAGCAAACATCAGATTGAAACCCCATCACTTTCATGTTTCAAGGAAAGAAACACTTATATTTATGCATATATCACAAAACTGGTGCTATTAACTGTTGTGGCTAAATTCTTCAGTCACAAAAGCATTTCTCTACTGAGTTAAGAATTATTCAAGTAATTCTTAACTTTCTCCAATGTTAAAAACATTACTTTCTCTGCCTCTTTTGAAACCAATGGATACTGTCACAAAGTATCTATTCAAGTATCTGTCCTGCTTGAAAAACTGGCATAGGCTGACCAAATTCACACATGCAGTTGCTTGTCCTGGTATATACGGCATTTGCCCCTACTTTTTTTTTTTTTAAGACTTCATTTTTCAGACACTGACAACCAAAGCTGAATTTTTCTAGATATTTTGTCCTTCAGAGAAGATTCAGCTGACCCTGCTCTTGTATATGATTGCTGGCTTCCTAGCCTCAGTGATACTGCAGAACATATATTACCTTCTTCAGCTTCATTTGAAGAATATTTTTAAATGGATTTATTTGGGTTTTATTCTATTAATGGTTGACTGATCTACTAGTGTTATGCACATCAGAGTTTACACATGTACAGTTGTACCGAGGCTTATGCTCTGTAACAGCAGGTTATGAACATGAAGTAACAAATCTAAAGTACTCATCCTTCAAATGTTTACTCATAGGCTCGCAGCTCCTTATGCGGGGCAGCGTTCATTGACTTACATGGCTAAGTAATCAAACGCCAGCCAAATCCAACTGAATTGAGTCATGTTCTCTATGGGGAGGTTACACAACCGTGGGTTGCAGTAAGAAGAACCTTGTCACTGGGCACTGCTCTATTGTCAACCATTTCAGGTTGAGAAGAACTCCCAAGCATGGAGAGGATGCTGCCGCCATAGGGAGTTTGGCATACAGGGGCTGTGTATTAGCTCTCCGGACCAAAGGGAGGAAGGGCATAGTCTGGCCATTCTTACATCCCAGCAACTTCAGGGTGGCGTTAGCATCTTGGCAACTTTGCCAGCCCGTAAGGCAGCCATAGTGCTGCTCTGCTCTGTGCTGGAGGCGGCTTTTGGGAATCACAGGGGCGCCGTAGTTCCTAGAAACTGAGTCTCACTTTGCTGCGGCTGTGGTTTCTTCCATCGAAGTGCAATTGCAGAAAGGTGTTTTCATTCCCACTATCCCACTGATGGATCACTGACAGCACTGAGTCCCTCATTCACTTTTCTCCTGCAGTCTGTGGCTACCGAGTAAAGTAGTGTGGTTTAGGTACAGTGAGTTTAACCTGCCCTTACTTACTGTAAAGAGAGCGAGCAGTCCAGATAATTATAATGAACGGGAAATGATTTTGCATTTGACCTCCAACTTGCACCTTAAAAAGACAAGCTCCTCCTTGCGCCTTAAGTATTAAGCTTGGAGTTTGCTGCCTAAGTTTATTCTAAGCCAGACAATGTCAGTGGTTCGTACAGCCGTCGCCTGGATCAGAAGACCTTGTTTTTATTTATAGGAGCAATTCTGTTCCGTTGGGGCCTGTAAGGCTCCCACGGAGAGCCTCGGGCCCGCTCCCGCACCCCGCGGCGGGCAGGGCCGGCGCC